AAGGTTGCAAGTGTACAAGTGTCAAAATGTTGGTATGTGAGAGTATGAAGGTGTTACCACATAAATAATTTGAATTGTTGCCACGGCTTTCCGTATAGTCATTTTCTCGGAATTCGTACCGAAGACGTATTCCGGATTTTATGAAATGTTCAGTATGTTTTGTGTAGAGAATTGAATGGATAATCTTTTAAAAAAAGGTTGAGACGTGGAGATTAACCTTGACCAAGATATTGAGAAGATACGAAATAAGACATTTATTATGGGTTACCGTTTTATCGAAAACGCTTGGTTGGATTCATGATACATCATTTTTGGAGTATCACAAGGTCTTTTTTAACGGTAGTGAAAGATTAATTTTCTTTTGTGTTCATCCTTTTCTCTTGAAAACTATTATTTTCGCTAAATTAATGATTCTTCTTGAGGTAATGTGGTGAAAAATCCGTTTTTTTTTAAAGTTAGCTGTATATTCAGTAGACAAATGCAAAATGTAATTTTAGAAAGAAATCATATGAATAATGAAATATCCTTACTAAAAAAATTTTTTGATATTAAGGTATATATTTGTTCCATAACGTTACCAAGTTCAAAAAATTACCATAAAAAATTTAGTATAACATGTTAACTAAAAGGAAACAAAAAAAAGAAAAGATAAAAGAAAAAAACACAGCACCAATTGAACATTTTCACATAATCAGTCTGAATTCCTTTATACTCAACTTAGGGATAAGAAGACACGACAATACTGTGAAAGAGAAGAACTTTTGGTTTCAAGACATTCACCGGTAGAATAGTGTCATCAGAAATTTCTCTAACGGCTCATTATTTGATATTATTAGAGAAACATTTTGCTAAAGATCCGAAAAAACAAGAGTGAGGTCATCGGCGCGTAGATGTGTAACAATCTGCGTAAAATGTTTTGGAAGAAAGTGAATATGAAGACAAATTAATGTTCCAGCAAGTATTGACAAACATATTAATTACTCTAAAGACAGCTTCTCCATGTCGTATAGATAGAGGAGTATCTTGTAGCCACAAATAAACCCAACGAATCATTTAAAGTGGCATTTCCAAACGTAGGATATCCTAGGTCAGGATTCGAGCATGTCCTGAAACGATTCGCCCACAGATTGGTTCCAACGCTGCACCCGTTGGCTCCAAGCACTACTTGACCAGCTCTTTCTGTTTCAGGTGTCGCTTTAAAAATTGAACTTACTATCAAATAGAAAATCCGTGGTTACAGTTAAAAACCTACAATCAATTTCGGCACTTTCCGGAAAACCTGTCGCGATTCGTTTCTTCACTGGCTCCAACTCTATCTTCGATGGCTCCAGATAGAACTTTTCATGCTCTATCGATTGCAACTCTTGCTTTTCACTTTTGACAGGATCATCAAGGGGAAAGTCGCTAATTAGTGCCTTGATCATATGGCATTAACGGTAAATGTGAGACTTGAAGTGAAGACAAGGACTTTGTCAAAAGTGAAAAGTAAGATGTGCGATTGATAGAGCATGAAAAGTTCTGTCTGGTGCCATCGAAGATAGAGTCGGAGCCAGTGAAGAAACGAATCGCGACAGATTTTCCGGAAAGTGCCGAAATTGATTGTAGGTTTTTAACTATAACCACGGGTTTTCTATTTGATAGTATGCTCACTTTTTAAAGCGATACCTGGAACAGAAAGAGCTGGTCGAGTAGTGCTTGGAGCCAACGGGTGCAGCGTTCGAATCAGTCTGTGGGCGAATCGTTTCAGGAAATGCTCGAATCCTGACCGAGGATATCCTACGTCATTTCCAACTGTATTAGATTGTGAATAAGGGCAGGTCAAATACAGTCATAAAATCGACAAACATTACTGGTGCTGAACGGTTATTTGCGGCAACTGTCAGTCTCCAACCTTCGCATAATCCCGACTGTTCGTCCACATAAACTTTCTCTTTGTGACGTCAATTTAATTAAACTACGACTACGAATAATTCTTTCAAACCATTTACCTAGATTTGAAAGAAGAGAAATAGGGTGCGGGCGATTCGCTTTTGGATGAGGACTATCTTTTGACAGACAAAGGACTTTTTTAAATTTATTACCTCTAAAGAATATCCCCTTCTCTGCACATTTATTGAATGCATTCGTAATTACATTCAAATGCGAAAGAGGAAGCTATTTTAAAATGTCAAAAGAAATTTACGAAACGGCACTGGAAGAAAAAAAAATTTGATTGTATGATTCCACAGCCCTTAAATGATGAGAATTATTTATATCATATTTCGGTTTCTCCAAATGTTTTTCATAAAAATTATAATTGCCTCTTTCGTAGAAATAGGTTACTGGCTCTTTTAGAAAGCAGAACAAGATATATCGGCTAAAGCGGCCTGTACTGTCTGATCGGAACCCCCTTTTAACAGGAATCAGCTCCGATTGGTGACCGTTGATTGAAATGAAGCACTATCGATTTTTGAAATATCTTTTGCTCATTCATAGGTATTTTTTGGACAGTGAAGTTGCCTGAGTTTGAAGAGGAAGCCTTTGTGCCAACACATGTCGAAGACTGGCTGAAAATCAATAAAAATTGATAACACAGGTCGTTTGGCTGCCAGTAAACTTCGCACTTGTTATAGCATATCGAGGACTCTATAATGCAATCTCTAGCCATGGACAAATCCAGTATGGCGGTAGAATATTATAATCAAACACCCATTGACAGAATCTATCCATACACAGTTTATCGTACACTTTGGAGATAACAGAAAACAAATGAGTCGGATGCGTGATTTTTATTGTTGGTATTACTTGCTTTTTCTTGTTCAATAACAACATTTTGCTGTTTTTCCAATGTTAGGGTTTAGGGCCATTTGGTAGTGAATTGAAAATACTTACAAAAAGATGTATAAAAATAGGATGTAACTGAAGCAACATCTTGTTTGAAACGCAATCTGAGCCAGATGACATTTTAGGCTTCAATGTCCTCACCATTCTATGCACTTCACGATACCTGAACTGATGCACGTATTTTTCAGGAGAGATCGACATTTCATCATCGTATTCATCTTCGTATTCATCTTCATATGCCTTCATGATCGTCATGTCATGGACATTAGTCTGATCAACTGCTGGTGTGGAAAATAATTCTCTATAATGTGCTGTTGCCTCACAAAGGATTTCACCTGTGTCAGCTAGTATCTCATCTGAAGTTAATTTTAAATATTTAATTGGTGGTGATCGTGATTTAAATGCTTTTTTGGCGTATGACCAAAATTTAGTTTTATCTTGTAGTGGAAAATTTGATCAAAACGAATCCCGTTGATGTTCTTTTATTTTTGGAATCTCGAATTTAAGCCATAGGCGATGTGTATAGTATATTTACTGATCGTCCTCATATCTGAACCGAAGATATCGGTTCCGATAATGTTTATTTCGCTGAATCATTTGTCAAATATATGATGGTAAACTTGGCCTGTATCGAGAGGCTTTGTACCAATGAGTTAACCAAGCCACTAATGATGTTATAAACAAGTCAAAATCGCCTATCCAACGATGTGCCTCGAGCAAATGAAACTGTTGATTCCAAAAATCATAAAAAATTGAAGAAAGAATATTATAACTGCCAGTTTGCGGTGGAGAGATGTGATGAAATAGAGACAAGTTCGTTAAAGGTAAATAAAACAGGATGATGATCGCTGTTGTCTAAGGAACTGTAGTAGTGCTTAAACATGCCACGGAGTTAGTACGGCAGATATCAATAATAGCATTTGAACGTTTTGACGTTGGAGTTGTTGGAGCGTAAACTCTGTAATCGTTTTGCTCGATCATTTAAACAACTCTTCTCCTTTTCTGTTATTGTAGGTGTGACGTGACCATTGATGATGTTTGGCGTTGAGATCATCCATGTAAATAAAACGGACATTTTGCACCAGTGAGTCTATAACATTTTCTGTCGAATGAACATACCGATGGCAAGAATATTTGGTGTTGAAATTTCGATCGCAATATGATTAATGTACTGTTTAATTCCTATAAGAACATCAACATTTTTATTTGATCCTGCTTGACAATAAACATCATATGATCGAAAATGAGATTTAATTTAGTTAACATCTATTTCTGCCACAAATTCATTTAATATTGATACACATGGTTGGTGTAAATTCAGAAGATAGTATATCTCAACTGAAGAAGTTGTCCATGACTGATAGTTCGAAAGAAGTACCGTTAAATGCGATGATGAAAATATGCTGTGGTGGGATTAAATTTCAAAATTCAAAATAAATTGATTTTCTTCTCTTCGATGATTTTATTTTATTTTTCGTTGATGATGAGTTGATTAATCGATTAGAATTCTTAATTAATTTTAACTGAGATTTTGTGAAGGTTATTCGTTGGTCGTTAAGGTCATCGATGAATTGTGAACGTTGTTGTTGTTCACTACTAAGTTTGTGTAAACACGAATTTACGACTGGAATGATAACAGATTTTGAATAATGAACTAATGGTAAGACTATTTTATGGATCGCATTTTGAAGAACATCTGTATTTGCTTGTAATTGTTCAATTTTGTTATCAATGGTCTCGGTNATCATGCATTTGGTCACATCGGTTACATATGAAATGGGGTGCCGAACAGTCTTTCATATAATGGCCAGACTGACAGCATTTTCGACAAAAAATAATTCGTGCAGGAGGACGATATTGATCAACAGAAATTTTAACTGAGATTTTGTGAAGGTTATTCGTTGGTCGTTAAGGTCATCGATGAATTGTGAACGTTGTTGTTGTTCACTACTAAGTTTGTGTAAACACGAATTTACGACTGGAATGATAACAGATTTTGAATAATGAACTAATGGTAAGACTATTTTATGGATCGCATTTTGAAGAACATCTGTATTTGCTTGTAATTGTTCAATTTTGTTATCAATGGTCTCGGTTAATTTGATCATATATTCCATTTGTTGTATGTCGTGTCCTTCTAAGTGTACGTATCCCTTTTCCATATCAGCAATTAGTTTTCAGAATTTATTTTCAAGATCTCTATAAGCATTCGAACATGATAGTGTATTCGATGCTGGTAATGGTCGGAAGTGTTGTTGCTTCGTCGAATATCGCTGTGCTGAGTGTTGCCGACTTTTAATTGTTGTTATTGGATGATTATTTGAGAGCGTACCCATAGTTAGACGAGTACCAGTTAAGGCTTGTTTGAAAGTTCGTCTTTGCAACGGTGCTGAATCATGTTCTAATTGTTGTGGTGTGGGTGAGGGTGAACAATCACGTTGTTGCTGTCTCTGTGGAGAACGTGAAGCATCTTGTCGAAACGATTTTGCCTCAGATACTAATTGTTTTCGGTATTCAATGGTAATGAGACATCCTGATGATCCTCCATAGCGTGGTCCTCCGCAGTTTGGACGGTGTATTGAGTTTTGACATTCTCTTCTCGTATCATGCATTTGGTCACATCGGTTACATATGAAATGGGGTGCCGAACAGTCTTTCATATAATGGCCAGACTGACAGCATTTTCGACAAAAAATAATTCGTGCAGGAGGACGATATTGATCAACAGAATAAGGAATACAACCAACAAATATTTTACCACGTAGTTTGTCTTTCTCCACTTCAACAGATGAAAAGAAATCAATTGGAACGTAAGAAGTTCTCTCACCATCGCATCGAATAATTCGGCGAGCAGCAGTTACTGTAAAGTAACGCTCTGCTGATTCAAATATACCATCAACATAAACATTTTGTAGAACATTCTTTATCAATATAGAGTATTGTTTAGGTGCTTGTGTTAGTCTGCGAAAATCGAATGAACGGTTCCCTGTTAGTTGCGGCCAATTTGCTGAATAAGCTACAAAATCAAATGAGAATTTTTTTGTTTTTTCATTTGTCAATCTGACGTGACTAGTGGCTGTAGTGACCTTGTTCTATGAAATGGCGCACCTATTACTGCATCTTCTCGCACTTGTCAAGTCGAGTATCCGATCAGATTTGAATACATCAATTAATGCGACAGATTTGTAGAAAATTAATCGTAATATAAATTAAAAGAAGAGGAAACACATGTGGTAGAAACACTCAGTGTGTTTACATATACGAAAAAAATGTATGAATGTGCGTCTTTATGGTCTCAAGTATAAAAAAATAAGCTAATGGCGCTAGCTGTAGCCAGCTACCGTACTTCATAACCCGCTGCACCTAGCCGTAAAAAAATGCAAAAATATTGAAGCGAGTCAGCAGGCGCTGCAGCTAGTTACACTAGTTTACCCGTTGCAGCTACCTGTATAAATGTACACACCATGGAACGGGCGCTATAGCGGCCGCTTAAGCTAGTAAATGCGATTTGTTTAATCATTTTTAATTTCGCTCTATGAAGGAAGCGTTTTCGAACATTGTATGTAGAGAAAAAAGTATCGAAAACTAAATTTTCTGTATTACTGTCTCTAGATTCAACTCTGATAAATGTTTCCTTCATGGTGAATAATCTTTTCAATAGGTCTCTAGGAGATCTCTAGAAAATCCTTTTTTTAGCATAGCAGACGAATGTCTCCGATTTTGCTGAAAATATTACAGTAGAAGCGCATTAGTAATAGAAACATTCTCTGAAATCTTCAAGAGCAAAGACACTAGTTTCGAGCCGCTATTAACTAATTACTTTCTAATTAATTAACTAATTAGCTAAGTAGTTTTAATTAATCATAGTTTTAAAGGCAAAATCTTCTTCACATATTCAAATAATAAAGAGTTAACCGCAAAAATAAGAGTAGGAAGAAATTCAAGACGAACAAACGATAGTCATGTCTATTTTTCGCTGGTTTTGCCTATATATACTCGTTGTAACTATTACTGAAGCGAGTTAGCGGGTTTATCCCGCTGCAGCTAGCAGCACCTGATAAATTTTACTCTTTTAGCTAGCTGCAGTCAATGGAGAAGCGGACGCTTCTACAGTAAGTGCAGCTAGCTTATTTTTTATGAAATTTCATACTTGGAATATCGTATTAATAAAAGGAGATAATAATCCTTTCCAGTCATCCTTATCAAGAATGATCGGGATAACCTCAAAGGTAATGAATTTTTGTATTCTAGCAAACAGTATGTGGTTTTGATTTATTACGAGCGAATGGTAAATCATATGTATGTGATGTAAACGGTTTTAGTTTTGTTAAAAATTCTGTTAAATATTATGACGATTGTGCATCAATTCTTGGTCATATGATTATGCGTAAATTTGCATCACAGTTGTCCATTCCATATTCTTTAGTTTCTCAACCAGAAGACGAACCTTTCGTACCAACTGTTTATGGTACACGAATGGAATTGAGATGTGTAATTGCTGTTATAAGACATGGAGACAGAACGCCAAAACAAAAAATGAAAATGCCTGTTTTACATCCACTGTATATATGTTCTACTGGTCAAGTAAAAATATAAATAATTCATTCTGTTTTCAATAGATTCTTCCAATTATTTGAGAAATATAATGGCCACAAAAAAGGCCAGTTGAAAATAAAACGACCTGGTGAATTACAGGAAGTACTCGACATAACGAGAACATTACTAAAGGAATTAAATGAAAAAAATATTGATGTAATGTACACACTTAGAGCTAACTCACCTTTTATTATTTATCATCTCATTACAGAAATTTCCAAATTCACTCGAAACTAAATCAAAACTTGTTCAATTGCGAATGGTACTCGAAATGTATGGTCATTTTTCAGGAATTAATAGGAAAGTTCAATTTAAATATCAGTCGAAAAGTTTACCGACAAAAGCAAGCAGCGAAGAAGCCGGTAATCTTCTTTCTCTACTGTAAAAGTAGTGTAGTGTAAATTCTTGCAGATAAGACTGATACACCACCACAACCATCTCTATTATTAATTATTAAATGGGGAGGTCAGTTAACAGTAGATGGTAAACAACAAGCGGAAAAGTTGGGTGAAGATTTTCGAAAAATGTATCCTGGTGGTACAAGTCAATTATCAATAGGTGGTTCAAATGTGGGTTTGTTAAGATTACATAGTACATTTAGACATGATTTAAAAATTTATGCATCGGATGAAGGGCGAGTGCAAATGACGGCTGCAGCATTCACTAAAGTTAGTTAACAAAAGAAATATAAATTGGTTGATTAAGAAAGTTTTTTATTTCTTATTCTAGGGTCTGTTAGCGTTAGATGGAGAATTACCCCCTATTCTAGTTCAAATGGTTAAATCTGCGAACACAAATGGCCTGTTAGACTACGATGCTGAATCAACTAAAAGACAGACCAGGTTAATATAGAATAAACTTCGTTTTGAACAAAGGACTAAAAGATCTTTTCATTTAGAGTTAAAGAAGCATTACAGGATTTATTATCAAGAGATCGTGACTTTACTGATGCAGATTACGAGAAGGTATATAAAATATATTTTACTGTGATTTTCGGCATTATTTAGTCAAAATTTAACTTGAAAAATTGTCAAAAATGTGCCACATTTTCTTTGTATTTGGCATACCACTGAGACTTTTCTTCTTTTATGATTATGAGGAGTCTAGTCGAATAAGTCCGAGATAAAAAAATTTCTTTTCAACTAGTAACAGTTTGAGAAAACTATCAATTTTTGGTTGAGTTTTGATAATTTTTCGTTTCTTTCTCCGTTTTGGAACCCAGACCGCTGAAAATTGTGAACAGCGTCGCAGACTAAAATCACATAGCCTCAGCCACCCAAGAATCAAAAAAAAATCTAGTATCGTCCGATTCATCTAGATTACTAGGTTTTTACTCGATTGCAACTACTGTGTAATGACAGTGGAAATCTAGTAATTGGGCGATTACTAGATTTTTTCTAGTTGCAACTATCGATTTATCACCCGATAATCGATCGATTTAACTATTGCTAGTTACACACGCAGACGCATCTAGTTAAAAGTCCCTATTCCAACTAGTAATCTAGATGGCTATCTAGATGATATATAAAAGAACGATTTCCTCTTCAGGAAATGTATTTTTCATGTAGTGACTATCTCATCATGTCTTTTATATCATATCATGTTTTTCTGTTATGTTATCTTTTCTATAGTATCTTACATATCTTTCTCGGTTATATAGACACAGGCTTGTATTTGTATGACGTGT